TCTGATGTACCAGCTCACAGTTCTGATCTAGCAATTCGCAGTTCTGAATCCATGCACTCTCTTCACCCAACCTTCTTTTGTGATTAAACTAGAGGGTCCCAAACTTGTATAAACCTTGAGGATGGAATGCTCTTCTACATAACTTGTTTTAGAACACAACACTAGGAAGCTTTGAGCCAAACTTCTACATTAAAGCTTTTATTGAAAACATTCAGCAAGACTTACAATCAAGAACTAGACCAGCAGATTCTCATTTCACTCATCTACTTTCACAAAAATGAAGAATTGGAGCATAACAGGACACAAAGTCAAGAAGGACTGCATTTAAACAGGAAATCATCAGCACTATATGCTGCAACTCTCAAATTACATTTGCTGTTTAAGATCAATATAGGGAGCCCAAGTTTTAACTCAATGGGCTCTGAAAAGCCACCAAAATGGACACAGATCAACAAAATTTGAAAAAACAGCAACTAATTCTTGCCCCCTCCATGGCCCAGACAGATGTAGCCAAGCAAGGCATGCATAGAAACACATACTAGAGATCCAGCAGCAGCACGTTAGCAAACTTCAGCCAGCAGCTTAGGATGGTAACAGTCATGCTGGCCCTTGGAAAGAAAGGGCACAATGCAATAGCACTAGAGGCAGAACAGTTTACTAACCTTCTCAGCACCTGCCTGGCTACCTGAGACTCCTCCCCAGCCCTCTGCTGAGGGCACCAGCCATACACCTGAATCTCCCTTCTCCTCCACTCCCAAGCCACWCTCATGAACCCTCTACCTCCCACCTCCTCAAAACCTGTAAACATCAAAGGCACCTGCCTTGAACACCTGAAGAGCAAGGGGGCCTGACGGTCAAGAAATGCAACTCTGTATCTTCCCCTTCCATGCACTCTCTATTTTTTTTTTCTCCCTCTCTTTGAAAAAGGTGGCAGAGATAAATGGAGAACAAAGAAACAAGWAAAAGCCACAGCTTTGGCCCACACCCTGCCTATTACTTAAGGGGGAAGGAACTCTTCCGAAAGAGGAGGAAAAAAATGTGCTCTGACACAATGGCTCAAAAGGCCAGGCAGCAAACCGGGCCACTTTGTACTGCTAACAAGGGAAACCTAATTACAGGAAGAGGGCAAAGAGGGACAGATAAAAGGGATACAAAATTTCAACATCTGTTGCCATAAAGGGATAAGAAGTGGGGAAACGCAAAGTGTCAGTTTGGTGTCAGTGACGGCATAAAGCCACTTTCAAAGAGCTCAGGAGAGGGAGAAAGACCGAACAAGAAATTAGAGGGTTCTTAAAAAAAAAAAAAAAAACAACAGAAAACAAACAAACAAAATCCCCACTCTGCCAAAAATACCTTCAAAAGGAGGGAGGAGTTGGACAAAGACTGGATATTTAAAAGGTAGAGGATCTGGGTGGCTTGCAGGACACAGCTAACTTTGGTTCAATTTTCACAGCGCTCGTGCCCTGCAGCATGTCATGTTGTCACAGGAAAGAACATTGTAYGATTTGTGCATTCAAAGTGCTCAGAGCAGGAAGACTGCCATGTGGGACTGAACACTGGTCCGTTTCAAGCATCAGGCTTTTCAGAATAGCTCCAAGAGTTGCTGCAWAGAGACCTCTGGAGTATTACAGAGAAGCGTCCTTGAGCCTGGGGCATTTGTCACCTAACAACATGCAGACCACCCCAGTAACATGGGGAGTAACAGTTCTCTGTGGTCAAAYGACAAATGCTGGTCTTGGACCTATCAGTGGTGTGTCAACCTCATCTTACAAGTTTAAAGTCCCAAAGGCAATAGGAAGAAGAGGAAAGAGGAGGAAGATCTGAATAAAGTTTCCTTTTCTCTTGCTTGCCATTAAGTAGTTGCTCTGATGAGCCACACACTCACACTGGCAAACGAGACAGGATGGTTTGAATAGAGAAAGGCAAAAGCAGGCAGACGAACCTGACCTGCAAGAGGGGCAGCTGCCATCATATCCGTCACTGAAGGATGGGCAAGAGGACTTGGAAGAGGACAAGAAGTAAGCAGGGCTTGATACTTGATGCATGGACACAGGTTAGTATCCTGTGGCCCCCACTGCTCATTGTTCTCCTTGCAGGCCTCTAATCACCAAACTGCTCCACTCATAGCTGCCTTCCACATAAACACCTTGATCTAGAGTGGGAATAAGTGCACAGCAACTTCCCCACATCTAAAAGCAATCAGATGGCACAAAGTAGCATCTGTGGGGTGAGAGATGTCCTCCAGAAGTGCAGCTAGCCAGCATCAAAAGCATAAGAAAAAAAMCCTAAATCCTCCTTCATTACAGGAGACAAGGCCAGGTGTAGCAGCAGCTGGAATTTCAGCCATCAGAGACAGTGTCTTGGCATTATGCAGTCATTCCCCTGCTTTAGACTCCCTTGACAATTGCTTGTTGCTGCCTGTTGTGGCTTTGATCCAACAGCATCATCTCAGCAGAGTCAGAAATGAAAGACAGTTGTGGGGGGTGGGATGCAGCAAGAGGCGTTTCCCTTCCCCACTAAAAATTTCCTCAACACCAAACCCAACCAAGCCCTTTTCAAAGCACAGGACATATTCACAGGTGAAGATATTATCCCCTTCTTCTTAGAGGGATGAGAATGGCTGCCCCAGGGTCAGGGAACAGCGAAGGTCATAAATACGAAACATACCATGACCAACAGCTACAAGCACCAGCCAAGGACTTATCTGGCCTGGAACTAAGATGATCAGTACACAAAAGGTTATTTAAGCTTTAAATCCTTTTGTAGCATGTTCCAGCTCTCAGCTGTTGGGGAAAAAGACCACCTACCCCAACAGAAGAGAATGGCACAGAAACTGCTGTACTGTTACTTACTCACCCCCCTGATGCAAAGAAAACTTCTAACTGAACTGATTGCTCCTGGACAGCACCAAACACCTCAGTGGTGCTAAGGATGCTGTGGTTTTCAAGAACATACCTTACACATCATTCTATCCTGATAATTTTTTTTTTTTACCAAAGTTACTTGGATTCTGTTCTTAGAGATAATATCCTTGCCATGTTCAGCCTCTGCAGATCAGCCTCTGGGCCTTTTTGCAGCCACAAGAAAAAGGTAAGCAGCAAATTCAGAGGCCTTGGCTCTGTGTAGCAGATGTTATAAGTCATTGAGCACAAGGGGAGTTTTTCAATCCTGGATGGCTCTAAGTTTTTAAGTTTTCATGCCACATTCTCACTCCTGGAGTCTGACCAGGGAGACAACATTCAAAAGCCTCAAAGGAGAGACAGCATTCCCTACAAGATCACTTCTAGCAATCACTGGGGCCTTTGAAGATGGATCCAAAGTTCTGCTGGGAAGATGAACAGTTTATGGAGAGTCAGTTTATGGAAGGATAGCTCTGTACTCCCTTTCTATGAATGATGACACCAAGCTTCACATGCTAGAGTCCCAGCCATGCTTCCTACTCAGCCCCCTACCCTGCACATGCTGACGAGTCAACCAGCTCACACACAGGTCCCTGGAGAGGAAAAGACCCAGTGGCATGGTGCATTCCAGCTGTGACAGGTGAAGAGGGAAGAATAAGTTTGACACTCTAGCYATTTCAACAGAGGCCCAGTGGCCTAGGTTGCCTAGCCTTTTTTATTTGCCTGTCACTCAGGCTTTTACATTATTGAAAGATCAAACTCTGCTGTGCTTGTTCATTACCTTAATCCTATTTTCTACACAGCTTTATTATCTCTTCAGGCTTCCTTGGGAAAGGCTGTCAGAAAGGCTGGGGCAGGGGGGAGAGGGTTGCCCATCTCCTCACCCYTGTCAGATGCCTCTATTCAAGAACAGACCAGAAGAATTGATGGGCAGGGGTATCACAGCCTGCATCCTTCTGGGTTACTCCAAAGGCACCACTGGATAGGTCACTAAGAAACATGCACCATGGGTCAYTAAAAAAGAGCACCTCTGGTGCTCTTTCCTGCTCCAGCTTGTTCTCTGTAGGATGCATTATTGCAAAATGTTTTTGTTACTTCAGAGAAAAAACAGCTGATTTAAATTTGTATTTGATACTGTTGACTTAGATAATCTATATAAACTATAGATTAGAAGGCAATTGGTCTCAAGCCTGCCCTGTGTCCAGACCAATCCTCCTCCATCCCCATTCCCCAAATACAGCTCTACTGACATCCCTCAGGCCCCTTCTGCCATTGCACACCTCAATCCTGACAGCACTCCTTTGGATAATCTGGGTGTGCCTCTCCTACCCAGAGCATACGAGTCCTGGAAGGCAGGGCTGCTGTTCCAATAATCCCGTGAAATATTTGCTGTCTGTCTGTCACTACACTAAGACCCTCAGGCTGAGAGTTTCAAATTTGTCAGCAGTTGAGACTCACATTAAGATTTGAGAACAACATTTCCCCAGCTGCTAAGGTCAGCACCTTCACCGAACAGGAACTACTCAAAGACCTCAAATCAGAGGCCACAGCAATTAACCTCCTCAGTGCTTATTAGCAGAAAGAAAAGGCAATGTGCCTAAGTCACTTCCTTAGATAACCTGTTGCCACACCTCACCTCTCTGAGCTATAGGAATTGCCAGCAGGACAAGGTGACTGCAGAGCCTGTGTTTGCCTCTGGCTTCCAAGCACCACAGAGAAGTTGGTGAATGGAGGGTAAGGATCACCTTCCTCACCTCCTCTGGCTGAGGCTGGGGCATCAAYAGAGACAGATGAAAAGGAAGGTCTTTAATAATGGGTGTATTTTGACTGTGTACAGGTAATAGGAAGAAACCAGGATGGCTGTGCCATCAACAGAAAAAGCTGAAAAGAAAAGCCAAGTTACTGAACCAGAATCACCCCCAACATATGCCTTCCCACACCAGTTTGCTTTGTCCCCCACTCTGTAACACATCTTYAGTCATCCCTTGCCTATACTGGCAAAAGGAATGATACCATTTTGCAGCACTTCCAATATTGCATTTCTCATTGTTATTCACTTTTCTTGTCAAGTCCCTCCCCGTAACCTGGAAGCTCACTCACCTCTCAAGGTCCCAGATCCTCAGAGGTGAGGTGTGTCCACAGCAGGCTGTCCCCGTCACAAACGAGCTGTTTAAAAGAAACAAAAAAGAAGAAGCAAACAAAGACCACTTACTAATCCTCATATTCTGAAGGAAGTGTTTGAGTAAGAYAGAGAAAACAGGTTACAAGACAGACTCTGAATTCTGTTTCAAGATGATTTGACTATGTCCCACCACATTTCACCAGGGACATGCAGCAGCAAAGGATGAGCTGCCACAGGAACTTTCAGCAGCTGAGCTTCCCAGATGCAGCAGTTACAACTGCAGAGAACTGGTGGGACATAAAGATGTATTTGTAAATACAAAGAGAAAACCAAACTAGGAACAGCCATAAACAACATTTTCAAATTAGTCAGTACAATACTTAGCATGGTTCATACACAGTGCTGTAAGCTGCAGGAAGACCCCATGGAAAATTTACTGTTATTTCCTACTTCATGTCTCACTTCTGTTTGTTGGCAACTTCTGAGCACAATCATGAATTGGCTGCAGCATCACAGCCCTGAAGAATCATAGAGGTCTCTGGTCGGGCCTGCTCAAAGCAGGGCCAATTTCAAAGCTGGATCAGGTTGCCCTCCCCAGTGCTCAGGCACTCTGTGTTAAAAGCAGCACAGCTCTTCTGCAGCAGTATTTGGCTTAGTTTACACACTTTGGCAGGGTCCATTCCAAAGTCCTCTTGGCAACATCCCTGCTGCTCATGCTGGCTCCAGAGGTCACCTGACAGCCATTGGCCTCAAATTAGCTCATAAGACAGAACAAATCCTTAAAATCAAGCATCAGGAACTTGGGTRCTGTGGCTCTCCAAACCACACTACTTGTTTTGTGCCAACTTCCTATCCTCAGTCCAAATAAGAGTAAGCAGCTCATACAAGGATTTCTAAGTAAATTATAAATGACCTCTCACAAAGCCATATTTATTGCAGCTACTGAGAATAAAATGCTAAAACTATGTTTAAGTCAATGCAACAAGGATAGCATGAACACAGGAAATGGAACCTGTTTTAAATAAAAGCCATCTCTATGCTTTGCCTAAACAACTTTTGCAGTATGACACAAGGCTGGCAGCTGAAAGATGAAAGCAAAATAAGAAAACAATGTCATGTCTGTAAGAATAGCAGTTAGAGCAATTTTTAAACATTTCTTTGATCCTCTACAGCATTCTTCCTTTGTAAGTCAAGGTGTCTCCAAGCCTYTACTGCACAGGAATGGATCCTTGCAGCATCCTTGACTTCTGTGAGATGCGCTACTTCTGCTGTAAGAAGGCACTCAGCAGCCAAATGATAAACACAGGCTCAACTCCATCAAAGCCAGAGATGGCCAGATGGAAGCAAGGCCAGAACTCAAGACTCCTTCTACTCCTTTCTCTGTGGTTTAGCTGAGCAAATGATTTCTCCAAACCATAAAGCCAAAGCAGCATTGATAAAACACTCTGCAAAAGAGGCAAGCAGATAACATCATACCATTTCACAGAGCTACAAGAACTCAGGAAGGGCTTCAGCTMCCAAGGCTTTCTTTTGTGCTGACTYTGTCYTTCCTACCCAAATTCACATACCTGGAGGTGTCCACAAGTTCTGTGACCCTTAGCCACCCTTAAGKCTAAAAAAGGGCTGCAGAACTAGAGCTATTTCAAAGTGTCTCYAACCAAGCTATCTTACATGCAAAATTCCAGGTTCATTGACAGTACACTATAGTACTGGGCTGTCCCTACAGGTACATTATTCTTCTCCATATAAGTCCCTGACCAAAGTCTGAGAGTCTATGGAAAATCCAATTCCTGTTGCTGTGCAACAGCCACCAGGATCAGTTAAGAAAGTGTACAGCATTTCATTTTTGAAAACAGGTTTTCTGCACAATACCTGACTGCCCTCCACCATAGTGCAGGGCAGGAGGKAACATTTCACTTTTGCCAATGTCACCCATCTCAGAGGAAAACAAGCAAAAGACACCCACTTTGACAGCTTGTCAGTCAAACCCCATGTCTGGAAAGCAGCGCTTTGGTCAGGGAGTCCCTCTGCTACAAAGGTAGGTGATGGATTCTGTCCTCCCTCCCCAGTCATAATCCATTAATAACTACTAAAGTCAATTACTGTGGTTAGAAACATAATAGCAGGCAGGGAGTCAGTCAAGCARGCAATTGGGTGCTTAAGATTTTTCTTCTGGGGAACAAACTGATTCTGTCCCAGCAGAGAACGCCCTCACGTGGGAGACAGACCCCTTTGTGCAGAAGGTATGCACAAGGCTTTGATGGTTGCCACAGGTCTAAATTACCATGGAGGCACACCAACAGGGAGAAAAAGGTGGGAGGAACAGCTAGGTCTAATCCTCCCTCATGCTGTCARTTCTGGACTTCAGCTTTCCCTCCTTGGTCCTTACCCCTCACCCCTCAGATGTAAAAAAAAGAAAAAAGAAGAGAAAGAAAAGCATTAGATAAAGAGATTTTTTCTCCAGCATCAAATACAGGCCTCAGGGCCACAAACAAGTCTCTTCTAGGTAAAGCTGATTTCATTCAGTCAACAGGAATTTTTGTCTCATACTTCAGTGGGATCAGGTTTGCAGGCCTTATCTTTAACAGCCTGAGCCCATTAGCAAGCAAAGATAAGACTTCTCCCACAAGAGCGGGCCACCTTCACTGCAGCACTAGAATGCAGCATTCACAAGACAACATGCACAAGAAGTGCTGCCAGTGAGAAATTCTTGAAGTCTGAGAGTGAACTGACCTTAAAGTCTGGGTTCCAGGGCAYTGATACAGGGCCCCTCAACTTGAGTCTGATCTGCAGGCATAAACTTTCAAGCCCCAGGAGTCTCATAACTGGGAACCTCTCAGAGGTGACAATTTTATTCCAAGCAAAAGGGCAACACAAGTCAGCTTTGGTAGGTTTAAAACAACATGCAGATTAGAGGTAAGCATATAAAGCTTGGCTCCAAAACTTCTGAAACTTCATTCAGCAGAGCTGAAGCCTTCTATCAGGCTTGCTTCTTTCAGTCTATGTTCAGCAAGGCTCCTTTGGTCTTAGAAAGCACAGAGCACACACAAGAAAACCCTCCAACTTATAGAAGTGCAGCTCTTTCGCTACTATTGCTGCCAGCTGCCCAAGAGAAACAATTCAAGCTGAGTTACTAGCTTAGAGAGTGTAATTTTTTTTTGCCCACATTGCTTTCTAGAGCCAGACTGAGGAGTGACTAGATTGGGAAGAAGGGAGTACAGAATACCCTACATATATTAATGCAGGCATGGCCCATCTACCTGGAGCACTACTGACGTACACTGTCACTGATCAGATGCATCTACATCCACCATGAAAACTGTTACGGCCAAGCTTCAGATGGCCTTAGAGATGTAAAGCTCCATCCCCTCTTCCCCACTAAGCTTTCCTGTGTCCTTTGAAAGCTGCTGGGGACCATGACTACAAACTTACACTGACAGGCTCTTCTAAGGGGAAAATAAGCACCATTGCAGGGCTTATTATCTTTACAGAGATCCCCAGGAACTAAAACGAAGCCAACACAGCATCTCTGCTGCACCAGGAAGGCAAGGATTTTGCACAGCATTGAGACACATATATTTCATTCAGCATATTTTTGTTGTACAACACAAGGAATTTTCCAACTCATCTGATACTTTGATGTTCTCTTTCTTGTTTGAAACTCCCTACTGACAGGGAGGAGAAGAATAAACAAGAGGGGGAAAAAACAACAAAACAACCAAGAATCTGCCTCTCCAGAAGCCAGACCTTCTCTATGCTACAGAAGAGATATTTCATTAGACATCATCYCTCCACAATAGAAGCTGGGCCAGGAAATGAGAGAGAGCACACATCCTGGCAGTGCTGTTGGAAGAAACACAAGAACTCTCCATCTGACTGACTTGTGGTTGTTGAAGATCCTATGGCATTTCTGGCAACAGCAGTAGTGCTCTGGCTACAGTCCAGCTGCAATAATCCCATGGCTGCTCCCAAGGTGCCAACTACAGTTTGACTCATGTAGCAACCCTCTTYATATCCCATCCTGGACTGAACATTGCCAGATGTGAATGAACCAGAGGSAGAGAAGTAGATGCCCATCAGTCCTTTGGGAAAGATTCGGTTTATCCTGAGGCTTGGAAACAGTCTCAGCTCCAGAAATACAAGTCCCACTGTGTAACACATAACCTCCTCACTATCAACCCAGCCTCCAGAGCAGGCCCTGCCTCACCTGGGAATCCTGCAATGTAAGGTCATTGAAGGAACTTGGTTAAAACAGGTCCTTTCCCACCTCTTCTCATTACACCTCCCCTGTGCCCCAGGCTTGTGCCTTTCCCCTGTACTGTAAACAGATTGCTTCTCAAGTCCTATTCTGCTCTTCGGGGATTTCAAATCCAGAATCTGCTTGACACGTGCAAGAGCCTGTTCCTTCCTCCTGGCGCGCTCCCCCGCCCCCTGGAATTGGACATCGTTGTTCCATTTTGGAAACTATTATATATGGAGACTSACTGGACTGGGAAACAAAGAAGTTATTACTTGACAGAGCCCKGCAGCTGGGAATGTGGAAGGTGGGGGGAGAGAAGGGGGAAAACTAAGGGAGACAGGATGGGGGGGTTGGTAACGCTGTTATGAAAGCGATCAACAGAAAGGACAGCTCAAAGATGGGAAACATCTATTTTAAAAAGTCTCAAGTGAGATGAGAAAAGAAGGAGAAGAGAAAGTCCAAAAGGGAGATAGGAGAAGAGAGAGAGCAGTTGGTGCCGACGGTGCTGCGGGTTAAACACACGGGTCTGTGGGTTTGTGTAGCCTTTGATTCAGCACTGACACGCTTTGGCAAGGGAGGCCACCGGAGCTGTCAAATCCTTCACCAACGTGCCCATCAATTGTATTCAGCTCTCCCCGACCTGCACTGGCATTTTAATTACTGTTGGGTAAACTAATTTGTACAAATGAAGGCAACTCTGCCTAATAGAATATGCAAGCTCTCTGACCTCTGACAGGCGATGACACAAGATACAAAGGAGGCAGAGGAAGGCTTTTTATCAGAGCCTTATTACTCTCTATTACT